CCGGGAGCGGCGGGCGCGTCCCGGGAGCTGCGGCGGGGAGGGACGGGGCGCCACGCAGCGCAGCACATGACCTGAACGCCAGGAGGAGAAGCCAGACCTTCTGTAGCGGTAAAAAATGGACGCCGTAAAACGGGCCTCCCCAGCAGGTTCCGGTTGGGAGATTCGGTATCTGAAGCCTAAAAAATTCAGATGAAATTTCATGGAATGAAGCTGCTGGAGCCTCCGAAGACCAATAATGTCCAGGCTGACAGCATCAGAGAAACCCAAGCGATTTCAAGGGGAATGCCTCGAACACAGAAATGAGGCACATGCCCTTCTTCTGGCCTGCTGCGTTTCCCTGCAATCCCCAGAAAAGGGGAGGCGGGGGAGAGAGGGAGGGCAGGAGGGAAGGGTTGGGGCCAGGGAGCACGGGGGAACTCAGATAAATCCACGTACTTTTGGGGATAGCATTTATGAGCACTAGTCATGGGACTTGTGGCTTGAGAAAAGTAAGAGTAGTAGTCTAATTGATAAATGTAAAGGGCAGATGCCAGCAAGAAAGATCCCTGTGCTTTGCATTATCTTAAACCATGCAATAGTATCACGATATGTTCCTCCCCCTCGCTCCCTAAAATTACTTTTCTCCCTTACGAAACAATATATGATCCAGTAACTTTTGTTTTTGGCGGGGTGTCTTTGCATGTATCGAGTAGTTGCTAGGTTAAACTGAAGCTCGCTGAGGTCTCTATACTGGGGACAGGGGAGGTGCTCCCCCCTTTTTCTATTACTAACTGAAGCTCGCTGAGGTCTCTATACTCCCTCCTTTTTCTATTACCATTTTATGAGTAGCAGTATCTCTTTCTTCAAAATTAGTTCTGCCCACATTTGACTTTGCACTTTTTTTTATAAGTAGCAACCACTGTCTTGAACAGGAAAAAATATAAGTTCCTCCTCCCCCCATATTGTTTTCTTCCCAAAACTTCCAAAGATGACCCTGTCATTAAACTGTGTTGTGGAGCACAAAGCTTAGAGCTGCTCACTGAAACCAGTATTTTAAATTGATGAAACATAATTCTCTAAAGTCAGTCTCCAAAATAAGTGAACTAATTTTGTTGAAACATTCTCTGCAAAATTTACTCACAGGTAAAACCTGTTTGAGTAATAATATGAAACATTGGGAAGTACTGAATACTCCAATTACAGTTATTAAATTAGTAATTACATAGACTAAAATAATTGTTTTTCACTCACATAGTCTATAAATAGTGCAGGTTAAATGGACAATAATTATCAGGGATATCATGATTAGCAGGAAATCATTAAAATCAAATTTTCTGTTCCCTTTTACCCTCCCCAAAATAACCATCACTTGCAGCCTATACATTGGCATTTACATTTTTCACTTGCACCCAGAGTTAAGTACCAACAAATCTTATTAGTGTTCCTACAACAGGATATTCCAGTTGGCTTGATGATCACTAATTATTAGGGATAGAATTGTTCAAATGCCCTTCTTTTTCCCTCCTTCCCCACTCTAAGTACAGTCCTTTCCAAGCATTAGTTGCTTTGTCAGAAAAGTTAATTCACCCTCTAAGCCATATGCTCCAGCTACCTTTTTATTCGCTAGAGAGGAAATCCTGTAAAGGGACTTACAAATACCGCATTTCTAGGAAAGACTTTTTACATCATGAACATTGTCAGGTTCTGAATTGTGAGACTGAAACAAGGGCAAATACTGTGACAGATAAGTGCATTCGTTTCCAGTACTACTGTCCTGAAACCATCTCTCCTATGAATATGTATATATATATAAAGGACATGCTTTATTTGATACACTTATGCCTTTTCCTTCCTTCTTTCTTTTTTTTTCTTGCTTGCTCTCACTGCCCTGTCAAACTTATTCTCAAAACATATTTAAAAAATTAAGGAGGACTTAAAGAGGTGATGACTATAAAAAGACAATAGGTATACAGCCCCTAACCTGTCAGTTTGTAGGAAATAGTCATCAAGTCATAAAAATATGGAAATATCTATGGCTTGGAGCATGAAAATCAACATATGTAGTCATCATGTGTTTTTTTGGAAGATCTACTAAACAAACTGTGTCACTTTTGCCTTGCAAGGGAACCCGCTTTCTCTTTTAGGGATCACTGTGCCATTTACTATTAGTGTTAGCGGCATCCCGAATTGCAAAATCTTCAGATTAACGTGCCCAATCCTGTCAGTTTTCCCACAGGCTGTCTCGCGATGGTAATCCGCTAAAGGATTGTTTCATCCAAGCGGCGGTGTCCAAGTCAAACGCTGGCAACAGGCAGGGAAGCCCAAACCTGTTGAGGCAGACTTCAGCTGGGATGCGAGCAATTGGAGTGACAGCCCTTACGAGAGAGGAGCGGGGGACGTACTTTGCCTGAGCAGAATAAGTCCATGGGCTGCATCTGTGATGGAAGACTGGGACCGCAATCGTGATAGCTGGAAGTTTGTGGGCCGTGATGCTGATCCTGGTCAAAGCAGGCCCGGGGCAGCGCTGTTTGGAGTAGTGCCTTGTCAGATTAGCTCGACAGCTACTGTATTTGATGCTCAACCTGGACGGACAGGCCTGCCAGGCAGAAACTGCTCAGGCAGATGATGCTAGGGAGGACAAAAATTATCCACCGCAAGACTAAGAAGACAGATGACACCCAGCAGGAACAGCAAGCCAAATCTGCAGAATCCACAATACAGCTGGCTAGCCCTAGGCTACCTGCCCCTTTGAAGTGGAATAGACATCACGGACGAGCTGTCAAATTAGATCACCAGCCTGCAAACGCTGAAAGAGATTTAGTTCCTCCAACAGAGAAAGGAAAGTTTAATAGATGAAAATCTTCCTGAGGGGGCCAAGGTAATGCGGGAGGGGAATCCTTAAGATGCAACAACAATGAAAAATTACTGAGCTCCCTCCTGCCCACACAGAGAGAGACAAGATTGGCTCTGTTCTGCAGCAACTGGAATTATTGTAGTCACTACCAGCACAGAAAATAAAGGCAATGCCTGAAGGAATGTGCGCAGAGCAGCAACAAGTAACCGTTAGTACAAAATGAAATTCTCTCCCCAATCTATGATATCTTTATATGTCACCCTAAAGCTGAGGTCTAAAGTACGATAAATCCAATATTCAAGACATGCAGCAGTGGGAAGCAAAAATCCATTGCGAAACCAAAAACTCAGTGCAGCAGAGACGTATGATGGGAACTCCTCTAACATTTCTTTTGCAGTAGCGTTCAACCCAAGCACAGGAATGAGAGGAGAAAAATTCACTTTCAATGAACTGAGACCAAAATTAAGATTATTGAGTGTGTAAGCACATGCAGGGGTATACACAGAGTATGAAACATTATGATTATGGACAGCAGCAGCATGATCTAATTATAGATGCAAATAAGAAATAGTGCTTTTAGGAGGAAAATATTGTATGTATTAATCCAATAAACAGCTGCATCACTGCAGTTATACTTTGAAGTCAAAGACTATGAAACATTCCAAAGATGAAAAAAAGATAAAAATCAGAAAAAAAAATCCTTCAAATTTCAACTATAGGAAAAAAATGCCTACGAGATTTCATATGCATCTATTAATCCAATTTATGGTCCCACCAAGACAAATTTACTTGGTGAAAAATCACTACAATCTTTCAATTTGCAGCTTCAGCATTCATGTACCACAAAACCATAATACAGCTGCAGAGACAGAAGATGCTAGCAGATCAGAAAGGATGTGAACTAGACCTCTGAAAGGAAGAGCTTATACCCCATTCCTTGATAATGATTCCATATTTGTATCTATTACTCTCTTTTCATTTCTCTCAGCTAATCTCTTTTTAAGTAAGATTCACAAGACTTTTCCGAAGACAAAGCATGGAGGAATGGGCTTTTGACCATCTATTGCTATTTAACCAAGAGGAGGGTGAGGATGCTCAGCTGCTAGAGCTCTCTATCTGTGGCATTAATTGAGTGTATTTTGTTTTAGGGACAAAAACATGTTAACATCTTTAAACTTTTTTTTTTTTTTGTAGAAAATGGCAAACATACACAAGAGCATCTTGAATGCAGAAAACTCATGTCCGTCTTAAATCTCTCGTTAAAGCCTCAACTGCCCGTTTATACACAGGATCTCATACTGACGGGTCTGGATGACTCCCAGTTGCCATCTGATGACTTCCATCAACTATATTTTAAAATACATTAGCAATTCTGTGTGTGTGCATATATGCACACCTGTGCGCATGGAGACTCAAGACACGTTGTATCACGATACTCCAATAAGCCATGACATTTACTGGAAAATTTAAGATATACCTTTACAAAGACGCATTCTCATGTTCGTGTGAAGTATCAGATAGTAGTAAGAAATTCATTCCTGGAAGAAGGGCTCCTCCTGTTTAAAAATATTATGAAACAGGTGGAATAGACAACAGAGAAGGACCACAAGAGAAAAATGAAGTGATAAGACATCCCATTTTACAGACTAACTAGGATTCTTACTTCTCCAGATGTTATGAAACCTACCCACAGAATATCTGGCAATTTACTAGATGGAAACCTCTTGAAAGCAAGTATTTACTAACAACGAAGAGTGAACAAAGATAACAACTTGCTTCATGATACCGTTTTAATTGTTAACCAGAGGTGGTATGTACATAGCCTGCTATGAAAATAATTCATGACACAAAAGGAATTTGACAAAAAAAAAGTGTTAATATATTTACGTTAATATGAACAAATTCTTTACTGTTGTGATGAAAAGCCTGCATTTTAGTCATCTGAATGGTCAAGTTTTCCTAGCTTCTTGGTCTAAAATGAGAAGCATTTTATTTTGTTAAGTGTAACACAGGTTTCCTTCCCAAATTTCTAATTCCTAATTAGTCTCTTCTCTAACGCTTCCATATTAAATCAGGATTTTTCTATAAATTATTGTTGTGCAATTGTAAATCTCTCCAATAGCTGTCCCTAACAAATTCCAAAGTCAAACTAAATTTTGACTCTGAATTTACATGTAGAAAAAAACAATTTCAGAAATTACCAGCCCATTTCTAGTACATTCCACTGCAATACTTGAACAAACAGCTGTTTCAGCCAGCTTTTCTGCAAGCAAGTCATCTTGGCGTTAAGGTGAAAAAGGCAAGCCAAAGGGGTAAGTGTAAGATTTCACTGAATATTTAAAATAATCACATTTATTCTGCTGTTGAATTCTTAAGCTGCAGAAAGGTTGTCATGCAGTACTATCTCACCATATGGCAACAACCCCAAGTCCCAGAGGCACGTACTTAAAAGACCATAACATGTCAGGCCCTTGAATAAATCAGATAGAACAATTATGCAAAATAATAATACTTTAATGATGAGATATATTAATAAATGAGAGTGTCACTGTTCATGAATGCTGTGGAAATAAATTCCACACATCACTATGGTCACCATCTTCAAATTGTGAAGGAATGAAAGTAAAATAACAGCACGCTATTTGCTGCACCCTGAAGCAACAAAAATTTTAAGGGGTTGGAAGAGAGGAAAGTCACTTTTAGTAATGTTTAATGAAGGTATAATAAACCATTGCAGAAACAGAAAGACAAGGAATTGCAATTTTAAAAGTAGTAGAACATTTATCCACTCTCTTTATACAGACCATCAATTTCTTTTAATCCTGAGAATTATACCTGAGTAATCTCTAGTAGGCCAATTTTTTTTTAATCACTTTTTTTTTTTTTCAGAAGCTCCATATTTAATTGTGTTTGGTATTCCAAAAGCATTGAAGGGGCAGGGAGAGGTATAATTAATACCTTTTTCCAGGTATTTTCAAGAAGTCTTCCTAATCTTCCCTCTTAAATATACCTCCAAACAATGAAAACTCCAAAGACTAAGAGGAATGTGAAACTTCCCCAAACCCCTAACCTAAGGCACCAATGACTGACTCATTCTCCCTTGACAAACAGAAAATGACTTTGTGCAAGAACTCCAGATTTCTTTTTTCTCATTACCATTTGCCCCTAAACAAAACAACAAGAGAAATCCCTTCACCAAATCCCAAACCTCACTTGTATACATTCTAGGTAAGGATTGTTTGAATGAATTGGGAATAAGTAGTGCAAGTAATGACAGTTAAATGTGAAGCACAGGGACAATGAAACATCAGAACTTGGAGGGTTTTTTTTTTTTTTTTAAATAACTGTAGCTAAAACCTGTACCTTATTCTATTCTACAAATCCCTTATGCAGCTCTTGAAAAGATCCCAAGACTTCAGTGAGAATTTCATAATTAAGCATGCACGGGCCTGCTTCTAAATTGTGAAGAACAGAAGGTGAGAAGCGATTCTTTTGGGAAGCAGTGAAAATCTTTTTAAAGCCAAAAAAGATTTTAAAACAAGACATTTGTAGAAGTAATAGCGTGCCTGAAAGTCCTCTAAGAAAAGAAACATGTATACAAAAAAGCACAGTCTGGAATTGCCCAAATTAAGATTACCTGTGCCGTTGTCTTCCACTTTCTAAGTATGCATTAGGATATGATTTATTTCCTCATCTCATTTCCTACCTACCCATGCTACTTTTTCCTTTAGAACCCTGCCTCACTCAAAATATGGGAAGGTGTGCACATGAACAGCTGTCCTCAAGCTTTGTGTCCACTTCACTTACTGGGAGCCTCTTCAAGCAGCAGCATGTCAGGAGAGAAGCATGCACTTCCTCAGTCACCGAGCGCAAGGGCCACACAAATAGTTTGTTGAACACAGCTACAAAAACCAATATACAAGTTTCAGCTAAACATTTTTGTATTTCTTTCAGTACGTTAAAATATGTGCAGCAGCTAGTTGCCTGATTTAGAGACCCATCTTGAGTCACTAGGTTACCATTTTGTAATTAGAAGAAAAATCCTAAGCACCACATTCTGTGGTGAAAGAAGTCAAAAGTATTTGATACAATATTATCTTTATTTTGAAATGAACTTGTCAAACTAGTTCATTATTACTTCAAGCAGTTTTTCCCCAAGATCTTGAAACACGCCTTTCAATTTGTTCAGAACTATCATATGAAATAATGCAGAATTTTGAATAGCCCTATTGTTACCTTGTCCAAAAAAAAAGTGATTATAGTGTGAAAATAAAAGTCCATCTTTCAAAAAAATGAAGCAGTAAATTAACTATGCTCTTAAACTCTGATTTTTTATATTAAAAGAAATACTCAAAGTATCACAGCCAATTAAGACTAGACTTTTAAAATAATTTATTAGGTCACATAAATACTTTGTAACATTTGCATGTTCCCTTTGTTCACATCCTTGGCACACAATATAGCTCTTAACTTTTATAAAACTAGTGTAAACATCCATGGAAAATAAAATGAAAACAATGAAGGACAGATGTAAAAATTCAATAAATAGTAAAAGGAGTGAATATTGAGGGAAGAGAAATACCTCTTTCCTACGCCAAAGACTGTGCCACTACAGTTGACTCTGATCAACTAAAAGAACATTTTGTTTTTAAAAAAATAGTGAATTAAAAACTGGTGCTCAGTTTTCATCTTTCCATCATTGTTGAATTTAATCAGATACACAATATAATTCTACTGGTTCAAATTCTTGACAAACAACAGCTATTCAATGCAATATTATTATTTGAGGCATCAACAGTTTTGGTTCACATACAGAAGGTTACAAACCAGCATTTGCAAGTTAGTGGCTTTGGACAGTATAACATCGAAATTACCAATCACCATTTCAGTATAACATTACAGTTTTTCCTTAATGAGCATTGGTATATAACCTATTCTTGACAAAGATGACATTAGAGAGATGTTGTCGGACACCTGGACAATGTTGAATGTGGTTGAACCAGCGAGACACATTCAGGTATTTCTCCTTTTCCTGCACTGTAAGGTCAGCCTGCATGATGAAGAAATAGAAAGCACCATAAATTACATCAGTGTCATAACATGTGGCAATGGCAAGTTCATAGCTTTTAAAGTTTTTTTTTTTCAAGAAACAGAAGAAATTCTGACTGACCAAGTGTTCCATGTTAATTATGCACCTTAAAATTCACATCTTTATTTTAAAACTTAGTATTTTCCACTACAATCTGCATTATTTCAAAGGAACAGAACTAGTGTGTAGAATGTACTTTTGTAAGACACACTTAGCACGCTAAAAAGCTTGAATGTAACACAACTAGCCAAATAATGCTTATGAGGGAAGTTTCACAAAATACACAGTGCAGTCTGAAATTCCTCCAACCTAGGAAGTGTTCTTGTCTCACAGGGTCAAGCAATCAACTTTGCATTTTAAGGTGGGCATGGTAAGTGTGTCTTTTTTTTTTTTTAATCCTCTCTTCAGGAACATTCAAACAGCAAAAAAACAATCAAAAAATCATCTATTTTCATTGAAGTTGCAAGATAGTTATTAAGACAACACAGCATAAAAGTTACCTAGCTGTTCAAAAGTATTGACATTATTAGTAATTAAGGCAGTAGCATGATATAAGTTCCTGTGGTAAAACAGATCTGTCCATACAAATATTTTAAAATATGTCCATACAAGTATTTTAAAATAGTATCATTTAGTCTTCAAATTTGAGGTCCTGTTGTTCAACAGAGATCTCAAGTTAGGATCAGAGTAATTTGCTCAGTTACCCGAGATCAACAGCCAGTATGCTTCAAGTCAGCAACCTCCTTAAAGATTCTCTATAGAGTCTTCTATTACTTCAGTCTTAGTAGTAGAACTATTGTCTAGACTGCTTGTTTCTCCATTGATTTGATCATCTTTTAATGGGAGCAATAATAGTAATAACTCTCCCTTACCAGATCAGCTGTGTTATTTTTCCTTATTAGCAGTTTCAAGGTCTTCTCAGTCCCCTGCAACCAATTTAATTTGTTGGTCTAAACAGTAATATCCTTCCTCATGTTAACTAACTTAAAAATAGCTTAAGCTTCAAAACCACCTACAAAAAATATATCAGAAATGAGTCTTCTTAAGAATTACCCTATCACACAAATACTTAACTCATTCAGCATAGGATTTGTCTCATTTCATTTTCAGCTAGCTAAACTAGCCCTTGAGTCTATCATCTTGACACCTCGTGCAGTAATGGAAAGATGCAGGCACACCTAGAGAGGTCAGTTGTAACAGAAGGCTCACTAGCTGAATGTATCTACTTTTACATTTAGACTGCTGAAGCTAAGCAAGGTTAATCTCCCTCCTCAGAAGCTAAACAGATGTCATTCTTTATGCCTTGTGGTATAAACACCAGACTTCATAGCAAATGAAGGTTCATTACAGATTTGATTCTGGGCACAGGACATCTGGCAAGAAACATACTCCAAAAAACTTTAAATCAAAAGCAAAGAGAGATACCCAAACTCATTTATTCAGCAGAAAGAGTGAAAAGCTGATGTTCAAAATTAAGTCTCACACCGTTCTTCACCTGCAACACTCCAACCTTTTGAATTTAAAGGCCAGCTGTAACACTCGCTGCTTCCCTTTACTATTCTCGTTTTAGAACTGGAAAGTATTCATCATGTAGAAACAAATGAATTAGGATATAACACTGGACACTAGAACTACAGTGAGGGAAAAAGAGAATGAATTGCCAAGACCTGCAGGAGGGTAGTCTTAACCACTGCCACATAATGTTAGAGTTCTATTTATGAGAGAGATGGCAGCATAAGAGCAGCAGCAGCAACTGAGATGCAGGGGTCTTGCAGTTGCTTCTGAAAACAAGTAGCTCCTCTTCCCAGGGAACTCGCCCATCAGAACACAAGCACATTACTACAGATAAATTTGCACAAACCTTTTGTAACTTTCAACTGTTCAACAGTTCAAGCTGTACAGAAAGAAAACTGTTGAACCTTTTCTTGTTACTGGCATAGAAATATAAACATTACTACAATTGCACATAGTGAAAAAAAGAGGTATCGATAAAAGGTTTCTAGGTCATTTTTAGGGGTATTGCGACAGAAAAGTACAAGTTATTTAAATATAACGTGCTTCTTAAAATTAAGATATTTCATAATCTACCCGAAGTTCCTCATGCACCATATATTCAGGACACAATGAAAGTGCAGCACCATTTAGGGGAAGATGTTTTTGATCAAATACAGCTTATTATAATCCATGGTACTTTTAAGCTGAAGCTTGGTACGACGCTTCAGAATTATTTAAAAAGCAACAGAGAACTTGCAAAAAGGCCCTAAAGCCTTCTGAAATTACTGAAAGTAAGAAAAGGTATTTAAGTATAAGCAAGTACTAGGAATACGGTAACATTTTAAGTTAATGATGGTTGTACAGTGACAGAACTATAATTAAAACAGCTTTCTCGCAAAACTTTAAATGGATAACCACTTGATTATGAAAATATTATGTTTTTCTTTAGGTTTTGCTGCAATACTGCATACACCTTCTGTATTTTTACAATGATAGTTCCCAAACTTAAGTTTCTTCCATGTAAATCAAAAGTAGTATGGAAAATTAGACCTTTATTCTGTTTGTGGGAGAAAAAAAAATTGAGGGCAAAATAGACAGCTCCTCTAGTAAAAAATGGATAATAAAAAAGCAGCTCTTTTGTACTCTGGGCACAACAAGTAAGATATTGTTATTTATTTACATAATGTACTCTATCAGTGAAATATATTAAAAAGCACTTTGCGGCATGCTCCACTTTTTACTCAGAACATAACTCTTAGGTTAATTGTTTAGAGATCACTGCAATGGCATTTTTACAACACTGTTAGATGGGTATTTTCTGTTCTTCCTCATTAAATTAGATAATTCCCCCAAGTTAAGAAAGGCTGCTGTTCTGCTATTAAAATAATTATTTGCTATTAAAGCAATTATTTTAATAGCAAAGCAGCAGACACTCAATTTGAAGAATTTTTTTAAATGATGAAAAAACCTGAAGTCTTCCATCACGAATCTCATGAAGGGTAACCAAGGTGGTCATAATGGAATGCAACCAGAACAGTTTCTAGAAGGGCTATAAATACATAAGTTTTAATTATATCTGCTTTCAGTAGCATTGGGGATACAGACATAAATTCCCATGCCCAAATTCTGGTCATGTGTCAGAAGTGTAAAAATACTTGATTAATATTTGCTTATGTCTGACCGTCTTCAGCATCAAAAGAAAGATGAAATACTAAGTACCTGATTTTGAAGTTGGCCTTACAGATATGGCAGAAACATGTGAACCCTATTTCATGGGATGCACACAGTTTTGACCTATATTCTGGTGTTAAAGGAACTTGCTTTTTTTTTTTTTCTTCTTTTTCTTTAAAAGAAAACATTTTTTGTAATTTAAGAGCTACTTCCAGTGTCACTTATTAGGACAAAAGCATATAACTCAGTACCAAGCAGTATATTGATGAATATTAAGAAAGAATTAAGCTAATCTGTTTATTACAGGAAAAAAAGTGTTCATTATAGGGAAAATAACAACTGGATGCTGCACTACTAGTCCAGTCTTCCTAGTGTTCAATTTTAGTGTTTTGGACCTGAGGGGAGGGGGGGAAGCAAACAAACACACACACACCAAAAAACAGCTTTTTAATACTAGGCTGTGTTTTATTAATCCCCAGGCTTCGACTGAGACTTCTTCTATTTGCAGACAGAAATTTCACAGACAAGTTGTTTTCTACAGTTTATTCAAGAAGTTAGATATCTAAATTTGAGACTCATTTGGTTCTGCAAAAATTAAGGAGGTATAAAAAAAGCCAAAGATCAGCCTTTCTATTATTACTGTTAAGTATTTTCAAACAGCATAATAGAAGTCTAATTCCTTTTAAGAACAAAAATATAGGGAAGCTTTTCTCTTTTTTATTAAAAAAAAAAAAAAGAAAAAAAAGAAAAAAAAAGGTCTGATATGAGAGCAAATTTGTTCCCATATGGAGGATTTAACACTTACTAGTTGCCTGACAGCTATCTCCCAGCAATGCTGCCACAGTTACCTGCTTTCTGGTATATTCATGCTTTACTCTAGCAACACTCAATTGCTCACTACATTCATCATTCCAAAGACATGGAATTTCATGACAATGTTAATTACATCATCTTGAAAAAGCTCATTTAGGAAGTTGGTATGAAACATTACATTTTGGGGGTATTTATGACCTATATTTAGATGCAGAACAAAATGATTAGTTCCTGCCTCATCACTACAACTGTATTTCTAATCATAGACTGAAAATATCTCTATTATGCTCTGCAAGAAGCCTGAAATACTACTTGTGAATGTGAGTCTCACCAAAGTACTAATTCCCACAGTATGGATTATTAATCACTTATTACTACTGTGCTTATTAAGATAAGCAAAAAGAAGATGAAGAATGAATACAAAGCATTCAGATAAAGAATCAGGAGGAATACTAAGCAGTAAGCACAAATGGTCCGGTCCAGTTACTGAAAATGCAGGTCCTAGGAACCACCCCTCCAGATAACTGTAAGTGAGAAAGGGGGAAAGAAGGCAGGAAGAAATATAGGCAATTTGTATTCAGAAACACTGAGAAAGGAAGATAAAACAGCAGGTAAAAAGTTCAAGTGATAATATAGGGGGGTATAAAACTTTCTAATGAAGTGTGCAACAGAAAACATTTACAGTTTCTTTTACTAATACTTGTTCTATTCAGGAAAACTAAAATAGTCTCAGTGTCAGTTAAGTTCTTAGTCCAGAGATATATCTTAAACAGAGGGTATTTAGGATGGCATGCCCATTACTTACCCCTTATAACTGAGCTCAAAAATTATCTTCCATGAAATCAAACATTTCAAAACCAGCTGTTGTACTAAGAACTTGTCCCGAGTAGTGTCTAGATGGTTGCAGGCACCCAGGAGCACCAAATCATTTGTTTTTACCATCTGTTCTTTTTCCCAAAGCAATAACTTGTATCTTTTTCTCCTTGATTAGGTGGTCTACTCTAGAGCAAACTTTAAATTTAAAATCTGCTTGATTTTCCCCTGCCTATTTTGTGTCTCATTTGTACTCTTACTGCCTTACAGCATATACAATCAACATTTCAAAGTAACTATGCACCTTCCTCAGCCATTACATGTGAAATATTTCATTTCTGACATTTTAGTCAACATATCTACCTGACTACTTGCAACATTTTCTAAGTAAAATTAAATCTTACATAATTAATTCCAAGTGACTTATTCTACCGTATTTCAAGAAGTTTCTGAAATCAAGCTGCTTTTCCCACTCCTCTGCTTAAGGCTATCTTTTGAGCTTTCAAATCTTACTTCTGGACAAGTACAAGAGTTTACTGATGCTCAGCCACACAGGCATGTCAATGAGGCATCTCCAGAGGAAAAAAAAAAAAAAAAAAAAAAGCCTTTTCTCAAAAAAATGAATTCCCTTTGAGGGAAGGCCCACTCATTTACAATCACATTTAAACTACCAAAACATTAATAATTTCTCTTATTTTTCTTTTAAATTTCCTGTTTTGGTTCAAATTCAAGGTGCAGTGCTTCATAGTACCCCCTGAGCTATACAGGGACTGAAGTATTTCAGCATCACCACCATTCTGTACAAGAGTGATTTTTAATTTTTTTTTAAGCATTGGTTCCCCTTTTTTTCCTTCCTGTATGTTATTAACTCTTATCAATTCTCTAAACACAAACAGCCCTTTTAGGATGCACGACTTTTAAATGCAATCATCATCTGGGAATTTAAGTGCATCTCTCATAGCACCAGGAGCATTTTTGCAATGTTTCAGATTTGAACAAATAGAGTTCTGATCGTTAGAAATGCATGGAGAGAAGTTAACCTTATGTTACGCTATGTACAGAAAACTAAAGCACTCCGAATACCACAAACACTTATTTAGCTACTAACACAAAAGTGAGCACCTAAAACCATGTTATACTTGAAGCTCTTGTAAGAAATATCTCGATTTTTCACCCTGCAATTATCATTGCATGCCAATTTATAGCAAAATAATTTTAGATATATCTACAACTAGAACAGTTTTAAGTACAGAATTAATGCAAATACCACTTACCATGATGGAATGTAATCCATAGTACATCAAAATATCTGCTAATGTAAAATTGTTTCCTGCAAGGTAGACTTTATCTTCAAGGTACATGTTAAGATCCTAAAAGAGAGGAAGTCATTACACAGGTGTAAATGATTCCATAAAATTAAAGCAGTTGTTAAAAGAATTGAGAAATCCTCTGAAGACTGTGCCTGTGAAATAAGCGATACTTTTAATTTCTCTGAACTCAGTAAAGGATGAAAAAAATCTCAGAAGAGTCAAGATAATAACCTAAAATATAGTTCTCATTTGAAAGTGAAAATTGAATAGAATTTAAATGCTAGTCTCTAAACAAAGAGGGAGTCGGTTATCTCCTGGCACATAATCTTTCATAATTCCCTCACTTAAAGTTTTGTAAACACAGCAGTGCAATTTATTTTATACTGGGGGCTGATTCCACAGAAATATTTTCAAGCTCATCTTTTGCAGGCCTCAATTACTGCAATTCCAAAATGCTGACGTTGTGGATTTTTAACTATTGTGTGATTCACACAAGCACCTGTGTTGCACATATGTATCTGGTAAATGGTAAGCATGGACTTAAGACTCAGAGGGGAGCACTCTGCCTTTCTAACAGCAGCAGCTTATTCCGCGTTCCAGGACTCTACACACAATGCAGCTGATCAACGAAATTCTGGAACTGCAAATGTGCAAGATGTCAGAGAAACAAAGGTGGGGGCAAAAAATGTGTTTTGAGCTCAACGACTGCAACCTGATACCTGGTATCACTCGACTTTTGAAAAAAAAAAAAAAAAAAGATTTGCTAGCAAATCTTAATGCTACCATTGATTCAGTTTTTACACCAAGTACTCTGAACAGAGCACTGCATTTGCTTTTTAAGAGCTTTTCTCTAAGATTTTTAACAATTCCATGTAAGATACTAAATAGGCAAGCAGCTGGAGAATTTCACTGGATTCACTAAAATAAGTTATACATAGTATATTTCAAATCCGTAGTGCTAAAGGACCCTCTCTTTCTATACGTTTTATATGAATAATCATTTTCTACGAGAAAGCAGAAGGCTGATTTGAGATTTAACATCTCAATTCTTAAATAAGCAAACAAAAAACACAAAACACACACAGATATCACTTATTTCAGTAGAGTTTTAGCTGTCCATAAGCAGTGTCTCTTCCTACCCTTCACAGCTTACCCATCTGTCACCCAATTCATGCACTAAACTGCCTCCCCCTCTCTCCCTCTAAGGGAGAAAACAAGAGTGAACAAAATATACTTTCACTCCAGTTCTGACATAAACAAGCCTCAGTTTTATTATAATTCTATAAGCAATGCAGGAAAACAGTTTCCTAGCTTTTCCTTTTTGTTCAAAACTTGTTGTTAACTGATTAAAATTGCTATAGTAAGTGCACTGCTTTTTCCTCTTTTCTCGCAATATTCCCGTCAGTTTTCGCGTGCCGTCTTTTTCTGGAAACATAAACAAGCAGCTTCAAGACTAGCTACTTAATATTTTGAAAAATATCTCTTATTTAAGTTATCAGTCTCAATTGCAGTATGCTTCATTTTAAGAGAACTTCTTGTTTCAAAGAAAAAGTTTATATGTACTGTAGAATATCTCCATCTATTTGAGACTTTAACACTACGGAACAACAAAAACAACACACTGAAGTTAAATATTTTTTTTCTTTGATCTGTAAAACTAAAGATTAGTCCTTTTTCTATGTAATAACTCTCTCAGCATTTTAGGGTTTATTTATTTTAATTATTAATAGATATCTGACCTTGCATCTGAAATTGGCAAATCTGACACCATTACACTACTTTTCATTTCTTTGATGACCTCTTCCTGACAGGTCATTTACACATTTATAATAGTTAAACATCCTAATGTCTGCTTTTATTTCTTTCATTAAAGCAAATAAAGGATGATATTAAGCCCTACACAGTTAAAACACCGTAAGGTCATCTGGCTATGTAGCTCCCCCTCTCTCCCTTTAGACTGTTTATCAATCTGTTCATATTACTTAGCTCTCAGGTTGGTTCAAATATTAAGCTACATTTCTGTAGAATTTCATTCTGACAACACAAAGGCACACACAGGATTAAAAAAAACTTGCACTAAGAAAATCTATAGCTCAGTTTACTGAAAAAGTTGTACTAATTAAGTAGTACAGCGAAGCTATTTCACTAGACAAAATTCTGAATTCCTGCATTAAAGAAGTTGCATCATGTTAAATTTTCATTTCACACAATTTTTAAGAGGTAAACAGATTTTTGTGCAGAAACACCAGTTTGCAAAGTTATTCAGGATACATTAAACCATTAAAATAATTTTGCCCACTCTTTGAATATACTGCACAGGTTTATTTATTATTTGTACATACTCAAAATATTCACCCCTAAATATCCTGAAAATTTAAAGACAAAGTAAGCAACTACAGTGTGAACCATTTTTTACTCTGGCTTACCAAGTTTTATGAACTCAGCTGAGTCAACAGAATTTGACTGATGTGGTTTTAATCTTGGAGAAATTCTGAACAGGCACCATTGCTCCGTTAACATTTAGTAAATTGTTCTGAACACACTCTCTAAAAGTCAACTTAATTTAGAAACTCTATGACACATTTTTTTTTCCATGTGCAATAGGAGCATTTAGTTAATCTTTTCTAACAGGTTACAAGTCCCATTAAAATGGTTACGTTAACACCTAACAGCCAACTGTGACAGTTTCCATATTAAGAAAGCTTCATTTTTGGGAAACTAAGTGACCATGACATTGAACTGAAATAGTCCTCATGTCCTGAAGAGATTAATGGAAACAAGAATACAAAACTGTATCTGAACTACTGCTATGCCAGGGAGATTCAGATATTTTAGCTGCCATTCATGGCATTGTCTTTCACATACTGAGTATCACTATTTAAACCAATTACATGCAACTTCCAAGATCAACTAAATCATCTAAATACAGAAATAAATGTATGCAACAATATTAACTTATTGTTGCAGTCTCTCAGGAATGTCTTCCCCAAGTCTGAGGCAAACACACGAGGTATAATTGCACCTTATTTTAATAATATGCTTTTAACAACTGTAACAGTTTCATTCTTGGGTATGAAGAAGAAAAAGCAAAGAAAGTTGAAAAGATACTGTATTATCTATGGACTGACTGGTGGATTAACATTTGCTTGTTCTATGGCACAGATGTCCTATTTACAGCCCATATCTAAGATGACAGCTCAGTACACCTCACCCCCAGCCTGCCCACACTTGCTTAATATCTTTTGAGGATTTAGTCCAACTGCCTGTAATCCAACTAATCGACAAAATGATTGAACTCCCTTTCAGTCATCACTGGGACAAGGCTATCACTGCAGCTCAGACAAGTAACCACTATTTCTTAAAATAACTCAGCAGCTTGCAGTGATCTAACCGCACGCTAATTGTTTTAGGGACATTTTGTCCTTAAAAACACTGATGCTGTTGTACACACTCTCTTTAAAAGTAAATCCACATTCCTCCAGTCAGTAGTATTCTCAGGATCACACTAATGCTCTAGGTGCCTTTACACTGCACCATGCAGTGACAACAGATCATGCTCAGCTACACTCGGGGCTCTCTGAAAATACAAGATAAAAGAACAAAACAAAACTTCCTTCTGGGGTAGTTCCCCCACCCCCCGCAACAATACTTTGAAATATAATTCAAGATTCTGATGCATAACAGGCGAACTATGATCTAAACTGGTCTGTAGGACTACTATGTTCACTCTGCCACTTTTTCTCCAGAGAACACAAAGGAAAAAATAATCAAACATGGCTCAAATAATCAGATGCACCTTTTCTGGACTCTAATTGCACAGCATCTCACTGCTGCTAGAGAAGGGAGAGGAATGAACTCAGAGACGAAGCTTAAAAAAAAAAAAACACTTGTTAGACAAGCTCACCAATTTAAGTAGATACCCCATTTCAAAGTTTGTCAACTAACAGTATACCAAAAATCAGGATTAGCTACATACATGGATTATAGCTTAGCCTGCCTCACAGGTTTTGGAAACAGCAATTCTTTAAACAAGCAGCATAATCAGTAACTGATGCTCTCATTTAGATTTCTAATTGCATTTTATGACTACAGCCATAAAGAACAGACAATTAAAAGTATCTGACATAACCTAACATCTTCTATGTGATACATTTGAAGTGATACGCACATTCTTGGTTTTAACTGTCCTTCAGGATTAGAGGTTACACTAGAGCTTTCTACATTTGTTTGGAAACTTTCCAGTGAATTCCAGCACATTGCAGTATTTTGAATAGAGGATATGATTATTAAGAAGTCTCCAAAGACTTTTTCTGCCCCCTCACCACCATTCAAGTTCTAAATATCTAAAATTGATGAAGCAAAGACATTCAAACCCCCTAGATGCAACTCATTAACATCTGCATAGACATTTGGTACCACAGAAAAGGTTTTTTAAAAAGGTTCTCAATTTCTCCCTAGAAGCATAACAATCCTATTTGATACTCAGCAGAATCATTTTGCATTTTTTCCCTTGTACAACTTAAATTTCTTATTAACCAAAAATCACACAGCTGACTAAAGGAAAATAGTATTGCATTGGGGGAGAATGGGGAAGGATGTGGGGAGGAGGTAACAGAGAGAATGAGTACCAAAACACATCAGAAATGTATCATTCACAATCATCATTCCTACTGCAGTGTTTGCTGCAGAACCGCCCAGAGATAGATCCTTCTGTTTTGTTCAGTAGAAGAGCTCAAACAAAAACTTAGACGAAGCCACACACATTGATAGGTTCTGAGAAGTATGACATTTGCTCTAAGCAATAATAATAGAAGAAAATTTGACTGGGACAGACTACAATTGCTATATTGTTTTCTTAAGACCTTAAAAAAGACAGACCCATTGTATTTAAACTAACTAGTTTGTTACTGAAGTTTTTCAAGTTTTTCATCTCATTTAACAGAGGCAGCCTAAGGTTTACAACAGAAGCAAGTGAACTGTTTCTGGCACAGCTTATAATAAGTTGTGGCTCTAGGCTGCAATCGTCCCAAGACTGCCACTGTGTATTCCAGACATATTGTAGAACTACAGTCTCAGACTTGCCTCTTTTTTTTTTTTTCTCCTTCCTTCATACTCCCTTTTGGCATAGTGTATTTTAATGGTAGACTGCCTCTTGTTCTGATTAATCATGGTAGCAAGAGAATAAATTAAAAAAAAAAAAGTTAATTGCTATACTGTCAAGTTATTAATAGTAGAACAACTCCACAGCACCCTTGTGTCAAGATAAATCCTGGCAGTTCACCATCTGCTAAGAAGAAAAAAAAGGAAAATTTTAAATTGTCAGTATTTGTTCTAATAAATAGCTTATCGGTTTAAAGGCACTGTGTTACTCCCACAAGTGACACAATGTTCCTAGTAAAGAAGCTTTGTTTGGAAACACTTCATTTATTCACGTATCTGTATTTCAGACATACTCACACTATTTCAGACATACTCACACTCTCTTTTCTAACTGGCAGTCTTAAGAATAAAAAAAAAAAAAAAAAAACCAAAAAGAACAACAACAACAACAACAAAACCCAAAAGAACATACCCTTCACCATTAAACAATTTATATTTCTAAGTTTGGTTTTAATACTGAAATGCAGTTTTGCACCTATTCAGGTGTGCAAATCGACCAAGTTATCATCACTTAAGCCAGTCAGAGCAAATATATTTTGTTATAAAAAGACAGAAAACTTCTTAATGCATTTGTAACACAGGATAAGAAAGGTAAGCAAAATTTGTTCTTGTATGGTCTTCTCATAGTTTGTAGCAGCATAAAGTAGAAGTTAGTTAGAAGCCAAATAAAAAAAAAATGCATTTTTTTTTATCCTATTAACCATAAAGGGCATTCTGTTTGTTCATTTCAGTGTGATTTAAGAACTGAAATACTCTGTCTTCCAGGACAGGTGTCTACCAGCCAGACACCTGCTAGGTGCCTTGAAACACTACCAGCTAGAAAAACAGAAAGTCAACATGATCCTCTTTAATAAACTAGTGCTGGATTGGGGTTCCATCAGCTTTTATTTTTGTTATTTAGACACAAGGCCAACTTTTGCACAGTGTTCATTCATTTGTAGTCAACTTAGACTATAAATTCAATAACGACCTAATGAATTATAATTAATAATTTGCTACTAACATGATGAATAGGTCTATATTGTTGGACTGTCTTCTATAAAAAGACTAAAAATAAGGTTGGAAGGAGCCTCTGCCTGACTCCTAAACAGGAAGTTCTATCTCCTGTTTAAAGTTGAGCTAACCTTTAACACCATCAATGACTTATTAGTTAAATATAGAAGTTTTCTAAGGATGGAGATTATAGTTTTGATTAATATCTGTTGAGCAACCATGACTAAAGATTTTCAAAGCATTCACACGTAGAGAGTAAAATCTGCTGCATATCCGGGAAAGTGTCACTTTGACAAGGACAACCAATTACTGATAAGGCTTTGTTTCACTGGGTTTTGAAGCACAGCAAAGTTAAACAAGCTGTTAACTCTTTCTCTTGACCTCTGCTTCAGTAAAACTTAAGGTCTTTCCGTAGTAATTTCAGTTGACACCGGCTAGCCCCACCTGACAAGTGAAAAGATCTCTCAAGTAAGACTCTGCTAACCTCAGGTATAGCCAATCTTTCTGAAACCTTGCAGCTCAGAGCTCTTCTAAACCGAAGCTAGTCAGCAGCACCAATTATTTTGCACTTTTTAAATATAAATTACATAGACTTTCAAAATTTAGAAAAAGAATAAATAACCAGGAAAATGCAAAGCTTGGGTCAAGAGCTAACAAGATTTTACTCTATACTGTACCCTTTTTCTAAACAGAGCCCTTAACACTTAACAGTGCAAAAACATTTTTCTCTTTGAGCCTTGTTCCCAGAAGACTGCAAAAATACTAATTACCAGTCACAAGAAGGAAAATAGAGCAAGTTTTTCAATCTACTCCTTGCCATCTGGCTGCTGAAATAACTGGGTAACCCTTTTAAGAAAGGCTGAGGCTTAAACTACAGTAACAACTTAATATGGCTGACCAAAATCTCCATACAGATGTAGCTCAATAGGAAGGACAGTTTTACACAGGTTCCCTATGGTTTCACTTCTAAGCATTTCACATAAAATTCTGCCTAATAACTCCTTTTGTTACTGATACCAATCACCAAAGCATCACGGTTTATATTCCAGGTTATCAAATTAAGAAAATAAGTCTTAAAATTTGCAGAGCAGAGTTTTCTTGAAATACAACACAGAACAATTTGTTTATATCTGAGATCTTATCAGGACAGGAAGAAATCAGTGTCTTAAAAGTCTCACAGGAGACTAGAGAACTGTACAATCTTTAAACTATTTGGAATGTGTTACTTTACAGTATTGCATCCATGAAAGAAGGTAGAGCTCAGCTTCATACAGTTTATATTATTCTCATATATTGTTTCTCGTAAAGGTAAAAACTCAGCAAGCACTATAAAAGCCAATAATTAAACATGCATCAAGTCTTCAGTTTTATTAATCATTTGTTCACATATATATCTTGGTCTCCTTTAGGGCCTAATCAGTCCAAAATTCAGTGGGAAGGTAATTAGCAATCTTTACCTTGAGAATTACTCTAGTATCTTCTTTACCAGAGCATCCATCTACTCGAGTCACTCTGTATTCCAACCACTGCTGAACAACAGCTTTCTCTTCTGCATTGCTTCCAAGCAGTTGTTCTTTCTTAGCTTGTTTAACTAAATGGGCAGCTATAGTAGCTAATCCTATTAGGCCAGGACCATTGTTTGTTTGAAGAACAGGTATCTAAGAGAGACAAAAAACAAAAACAAACAAACAAAAAAGCTTAACTACATAATTTAGGTATTCTCATAAAGAATAGTTATGCCACAGATCCTCCCTACTATGTTAAAAATAGATTTAAAAAAAGGCGACAAAAAAACAAATAAAACAGCATTTAAAAGCATTCACATTGAGGGCAGTAAAATCATACGGAAAACGTTCTATTTTTACCCTTTTAAGCAATTTATTTTTACTTTTTAGAAAAAAGGTATTTACATATACATTTTGACAGATCAACAGAAATTCTGTTCAACATATTTTAGCTCAATATAATCTAAGCTATACTAATATCAACAAGAAATCCTGTTGTGATACTTCTAAAGTCTTAGTAACTGTGGACTGATTTCCAAATTCAGGATCCTAGCCTAAGACTGTAAAGTCAGAAGCACCTGATCTCTCTGAACATATCACAGCAGCCAGGACTTACTGAAATACTTATTCATACTTCCTATTCTATACAGTCAAATACTCAGACAAAATCAAAATCTCATACGTATCAGGTGAGGACAACACATGACACTTCTGTAACACTCCTCATTATTTTAACCAAGAAAGTCTTTGTTGGATTTGGGATTCACAGTGACATTACTGTACATTAAACTGATTTTCTCCATGATTTAGGTAGCTTAGGAAAAAGGCACACATGCAACAATTCATTAAAAAAAATCCCTTTGATTCAGACGCCATCTTAAATGATACCAAAGATGCTTATTGCTCATAAAAGTATTGCAGGCTTGACATACAATGAGGTATTGCCAAACAAGTACTAGTAAGCATGTCAGCTTGACTTAGATGCTACTTCAGATAAGCACTATCAGCCTACTAACATATGAAAGCAAAACAGAGACAAAAATAGAAAGTGCCAAAAGAGTGCCGTAGTAGACTAAAAGCACAGTCATTTACAACATCAAGTGATGCAATGTACTGAAATTAGTAGTAAAAGTTGCTACCCCTCTCCACTCTCTTCCTTTTAAGTATCTGACCATGCGGCATCACTTGCTTATGTTTAAAGTTAATTAACAGAAAATGCAGGTTTAAAGCACAATACTTATTTCCTTGATATTTTACTCTAAAAATCAGAGACTATCATTCATTTTCACCTTAAGCACAACGACAGATAAACTACTATTAGACAAACCTACTGACTTAATTTTTTCCCAGAATCATGCTTCACAGTCCTTTAAAGAGAACCACGATAACCTTTAGGTGGACACGGAGAGGCTGCCAGGAGCCGCGAGTAGGCAGTGAGATCCTACGGCCGCAGCTGGCGGAGGGGAAAGAGAGAAGGGGGCGGAGGAAAGAGATGGAAAATCCATCCCCGTCGGTGGAGAGGCCCGCCCCGCCGCCCCCGCCCCGGCCTGCGCCGCGGCCGCCATCTTCGCAGCGCGCCACCTGCGAGAGGGAGAGCACCGCTGCCAGCACCTCGCAACAACCGCCAGCCCCATTGGCCGACAGCACGACCACGCCTCCCCAAGAACCTTCGCTGCTATTGGCCTGCAGCAGCCCGCCACCCAACCAGCACGCTCCCGCCTTAGCGGACGCATGCGCTGATTGAGGCTTGCCTGGGAGGCCCGAGGGGAGGGAAACGAAACGGCACGGGTCGCTAAGCGCGCATGCGCCACAGAAGTGGGCGTGCGGCAGCCCCCGCCCCTCACTTGCCAGCATGCGCATGCGCACCCGCATGCGCTGCGGAGGTGGGGCCTGGGCTGAGCCACGCCCCCAGTCTGTGATACGCTGGGCGTGGCGGGGAGCCGTTGTAGCCGTTGTGGCCGTTGGCTGCGTTGCGCGTCCTCAGCTCCCGCCCAGGGCTCCGCGGCGCCGCCGGGGCGGCGGGGGACGCGCCCGCAGTGTGCGGGGCTGCGTTGGCACCTGGCTCTGCTGTTTTCTTGCGGAAAATGGGAAGAATTCTAGTGAATTGCTGCTTCTCTGCAGTTGCAAGGTTTTCAGATCTTGCCTGCTGATGGCAGCAGGTTCGCTGTTTCAGTGGATTTCCTTAATAAAGTCGTAGTGTGCTGCTCAGAAAATAAACTAATGAAGGAAGCTTATGCAGAATTCAGCCAATGTGTTCCTGCTGTCCAAGGAATACCAAAGGAAGGGAAAGCACAGAGCTAATGGTCAATAACGGTGTCATAGTGATAATAGTGAAGTTCGGAAATACATGATGATGTGAAAACTGAGCTGGTCGTGGTAAACACACACAGATTTAGCTGCATATTACTGTGTTTGAGCTGTGTTAAAGGCATTTATTTACCTTTCTATTATAAGACTTCCGTGTCTGATCATAAATGTTAGCAACAGAAACACTTTTGGATTGGTTAGTCTGTTCCTCAAGAATACCAGAGTGCTAGTCTCAAGACGGTTAAGTCCCAAACTAGTGCTGTGTTTTTACTAAAAGCTGTGAATCGGTCTTGATCCACTAAAGAGAATTGCAAGATGCAGACTCAGCTATCACTTAAGATATTAGTCTTCTTAAATAAGCTGATCCTGATGAATGTCCTGGTCCGTTATTGAAATATGGATCTTGATACAAGGCAATATTTAGACTTGTGCTTTCTGATTCACAAAAAAAAAAAAAAAAAAAAAAAAGAGTTTTAACAGTGGCCAAAGAGTCTTCTTTTGAGCGGGGAGTCCTCTGCAAAGCCCTGAAATCAGGACTCGATTTTGCAGCTTTTGCAGAAATCTGTCATATGTTTTATAGTAAAATCTGCAAAAAGCTTCAGTTTCCAGAATTGCTCTGTCTTGAAGATGGCAATTGTTCATTGCACATTTGGTTTAGTTCTTCAGCTCCTTTCCTGCAGCAGTATTTCTGAGATGCCAGTGTTCCCACTTTGTTTCGGTGTGATACTAATAGATACTCTGTTGCATTCAAAGTTGTACAGAATGCCTTAATTTTCATCGTGTAAAGTGTTATAAATATTTTTCCAATTTTTTAAAAAAGCGAATTGATTGAGGCTCTTGAAATCGATAAGGGAGAAAGGATTTCACTTCCAATAATCTCTGAAAAATCATGTAACAATAAATATATACTTACATTTCCATGTAATGCTATTTTGTGTATTTCTAATTCTTTAATGTCCTGGTTACCTGGAAGGCACAACATTACATCATTTGGAAATATTAGGATTGAAATACTTATCAGTAATAAAAAAAGGGAAGTTCCAGTTTTAGTCAATGCAAAGATAATGTAATAGCTGCTTTTTTTGTCCTTTTTTAAGTTTTTTTTTTCAAATAAAAAATTTTAAGTCCTTGGAAGATGGGTCTTTATAAATTCCTGGTTTTTTTTTTTTTTCAAATAAAAAATGTTAAGTCCTTGGAAGGTGGGTCTTTATAAATTCCTCAAAGTAGTTGAACTGCTTAAGTTTTTGTAGCAGCTCCCTTTCGGTAATATTGTTTAGCAATGTGTGTGTCCGTGTCTCCTCCTTTTCCATGCACAGTTCACTCATGGTTCCATTAGGTGGAGCTTTGTGATTAGGGCTGTGAAGGAAACTTGCTTCCAAGTGCAAAATAATTCCAGGCAGCATGGGTGGGGGAGGAGGAGAAAGAAGTGCACTTTGCTTAGAGGTATCAGTGTCCTGCGTACAAGCTTAATACACAGAAATCTGTATCCAGACTCTCACACACAATGAAAATAACTTGAAAAATCGATTCTGTCAAATGGAACACTGCTCTAATCTGCTGTTATCATAGTCAAGTTTTAAATCTAAAATACCTTAGGTTATAAATTAAATGTCAAATATAATTAATTTGGCACTTGAAATATGAAGTGGGTGACTGTCCTTTAGAGAAAGCCTGACGGCTTTATGTATGTCACATTGGTATCTGCTAAAATGAGTTTTACATGCCAGACAATCCTAGTGTGAATCGTATTGCTGTTAGCTGTACCAGAATTTTGTCAATGTAATAAGTCTGTGAGTAGTTCTTTTCTTAATTGTCTGAAGCTATTACAAGATGATATAAATCAAGTGTCATCTGCCTCATCTGTGCAAAATACTGTTCTTATTCTACATCAAATAAGCAATTTATTTCCTCTTCTTTACTAGAGGAGATACTGTAGAATATTTGGATTTAAATCTATGGTTTCTACAAGTGGAGAACATTCCTGTGCCTTGGACTCGTTGCATTTGGGATATCGCTATGGTTTCTACAAGTGGAGAACATTCTCTTTCCTGTGCCTTGGACTTGTTGCATTTGGGATATCACTTTCCTTAAATTTGGTGTCAGTGTATCAGTAGGGTATCAGTGGGTTCTGGTCATTCCCAGGCATGTTGTCCTGCACATGGGGATCCCGTTTTTTCCCCTTGTCCCAAGGCAGTAACAAGAATTCTTCGCCTTTTGCATTTTCTGTCCTTGTTTTGCAGAGTGGAACTACAGCAGTCTTAATGCTTATAAAGTAAGCACTAACAGTGAAACTACAGCAACGAAACCATACTAAGCTGGTCTTATTAGTGGGAAATACTATTGTTGGTCCAATAGATGCTTGTTGTTACAGTTGTTGAAATAAAGATACCAATAAACAACAGTATTTCCCACTAATAAGAACAGCTTGACCTTCCTAATCCAAACATCATAAAAATTCTCCGTGCAAAGTTTTAGTATCAGTGTGCTGTATGAAGGTTTCATTGCTGTTGTTCCACTGTTAATTTTTAAATACATATAATTAGCAGTTTGTAACTGTTACCCTTCATAATGCCTAATATACAGACTGTATGGGCATTGCCAGTTGCAGTGAGCTGTTCTTTTAGCTTAAATGCAGAAAAAAAAGTAGATAAAATTTGATTTTTTTAAGTTGTCTGAAAATCAAATAAAGAAAGAATTATTCCTCTGACAGCCATCTCTCCTTCAGGTTCTCCTTTCCTCAGCCTGGTGCTATACAACAGAACCTTGAGCCTCAAATTTTGCCATTGTTGTATGTTTTAGACAGAAAGCAACTCAGTAGTAGCGTTTTAAACCAAAAAGCACAAAACCCTTGTCTTTTTGTCTCACTTCTGCCACGTTACACAAAATAAAAGGCCTAGGTAGAAGCCTTTTTGCAGGCAATGACTTAGAGATGCTGCTCTTCCAGCAGCCAGCAGTTGATTTTAGCCTATCTACATATTGGAGGAAACAAAGAAGAGAAAGTTACCACAAGACCGTGGCTGTGAGAGGGCAACACCGCAAGCAGATTGAGGGAGATCTGGTACTCCTGAGAAGACTGAGCACACATATGTCTTAGTTTTGCAAAGCATGCGAATGTTTACATTCACTGAGGCTGGAGTGGTGACAGCATCTGTCACTGACCCATAACAGAAGTGACTTAATCCTTTTTTTGTCGTCCGGTGACGCCGTGTCACGGGAGATGGCCGGAGGTCACGGTGGTGCTCGGGCAGCACAAGGTGCTCTTGTGTTCAAAATCATCGTCTCAGCTGCACGGCAGTGTCAGATCCAGAGTAACCGCAGGGCTGCAGTGCTGCACCAGAGCTCATCAGGTGCGATGCAATTCGCTCCGTACCGACGTGCCTGTTCTTCTGTGTTCCCAGAGTTGGCTCCGTTGTTCACTTGTCTTAGGGACCCCTGGATTTTGTTTTACGTGTGTCTGTGTGTGAATCTCAAAAGCACTATGTGTTGGTTTTGAGAATAAACAAGTGTTGAATATGAGTGTGAGTTTGGACTTGATAACATCCAAATCGTTTTTACTATTTTCCATGGATTTGGAGACAAATTAACTGAATTTGTGTGTGTATGTGTGCTTGAGAGAGAAAATCTGAACCTATGTGGAAGATGCACTGTGAGATCTGGAGAGGTATATTCTACTTTCCATTCAAACCACTTTTCATAAGTCAAACTTACCTCCTTTTACTACACAGTTGTCTTCTAAAACCAATTTTGAAATGATGGCTGTACACAAATGATGATTTATAGAAAATTGCTGATTCTTTGGGAAACAGAATGGAACAAATTGGTGTGTGATATATACTAACCTGAAAACTAGCTTTATGGATGGCAGAGGACTATGGTTCTGTGCAGTGTTTGTGTATATTTAGTGCACATAGTCCCATAATTAAGATTCTCACTTGTTATCATGATACGTATAAATAAGTAAATGAAACATTGGCAGTAAAGTTCAATTTACATAAAATCCAACCATTACAATTAGGTATTAAAGGGTTTTTGTATTTTTACAAATAAAACTTCAAGTATATGTATATATTTTTAATTTAACATTGTAAGTTCCAGCAATTCCATGGAATTTACTTTACACCTTACAAGTAACTGGCGTGTTTTGATTTGACTTTATTCTTCCTATGACATGAGAAACTGATTGATACAGAAACTTCTAATTTTTGACAGATCTGTTCACTTAAATTTGGATGCTGCTGCTAAAAGGCTAAATAGAGAATGCATAAATAGATGGCTAGTTTTAAAAGTCGTTTACCTAGAGCACAGGTTTTGTGTGGTTTATCGTGTGTAAATGTGCCTCACTTGGTTGTAACCCATTCTTTTACAGCTAAGGAAATGCTGGGTTTTGTCTTCTATGTTTCTGAAGCATGATTATTGTGACCGAACT